ATCTGAGAAGTGGAGCAGTCTGACCAAGGAACCTCACTCTGTTGCTAGGGAGTCCTGGAGGCAACACAGTAAGGTATGAAGCTCCTCAAAAGTCCAGTGTATGACCATATAACACACTTTATGATATATATGCAACATATTTAAGAGTTGAGCAGAGCTCTAATGAGTAATGTTGTACCTGAGAAATGCTCTTCTGGCAATGACCTCTGCATGGTTGTCATGGATGACATCCCCTGGGCAAAAGTAAAAAGTAACAAGCTGACAAGAATCTGCAGGTACAAACATTACTATCCATATATTATATTATTTTGTATAATTACTAGTAATATAATGTTACACAGTAATGTACTCATATAGGTGTACATCACTTGATACTAGGCTAACTAGTCTATCAGATGATCAAAATATCATACACAACTTAGACTTATCATTATTACAGTCATTCTTACTCATACTATCATAGCCATTCTATAATCAATGTCCGTAGAATTGTATTTGATTTGACTTTAATGCAGCCCTACAATTTAGAACAAATCAAAACTTACAACTGTTATAATGTTAGACAGTACATTATGCAATAAAAAATTGACACAGACATTTGTGCTAGTAGAAATACAAAACCCACCTTCCAGTCTCATCTTGCTCCGTCCTATACACTTGGATCCTGTTCCCATGGCAACCACCTCCAGACTCCCATCCTTATCTACATGACAACAAGTCAACTGATGGTTACTAATGGTTAGTAGCTAGCAGATGTGCACATATCAAGTCAATTTCTATCCATGGAGATATTTCACCACAAGTAATCTAACCAAGCTATTCCTTACCAGTATTAAAGAACCAATCTATTATATAAAGAGCTCCTATTTATTAAAACTGATAATTTGTGGATATTATTACAGCAACATATATCAGTGTTAAAATGAATTTGAGGATCGCAACTTTAAGATTTAAAAACTACACACATTTAGAGTTCTTTGGATTTGCCGTTCATCTAACGTTTGATACGTTATATCCTTGTTGTAACAAAATAATATTCTTGTGTTATAAAATAATAACGATTACTTATGCCAACCTTGTTTGAGTACAGCCGCCATGAGGCTCCATTCCCTCCCCTCCACAGGCTTTCCTTTCTTTGGCAGCCTTTTTACATAGTGTTCAAACGACAGCGCCGCTAGTCTGTCTGCTAAATCATCTGGTTGATCCATTACAGGAGAAAAACTACGGGCTGAAAATATCAACAATTTCACGTGGCGGCAGCCATCTTGGATTGATGCAGAGGGGTTAACGACCTTGGGAACGTTGACCTCTGGGCAATGCACCTGTTACTGTACATGATACCGACATAAAATCTCAAATCTTTCGTATTTTCACAAATTTTGAGGCTCGTTACTTTATAATTTTATCAATATTTCCCAGATTGTGGCAATGATGTGTGCAACAACGCAGATGTTCCGATCATAGACCGGTGTTAAAATTAATGTTTTACTTGCCAGCTCAATAATAGGCGCGTGACTTTTGGCTGATGTGGACAAGAACCTAAAGTAAACCAAACGCACCTCAAAATTTACCCACAATACCTTTCGGTGAGGCCAAGTACCAGTACATTGCGCGAAGTCCTGTCTTGAGTCAGTTCTTGAACGTTAAGTCGTGAAAAGATACGTGATGAGTGACAGCAGGGGTCCGACACGCGGTCGCGGGCACACGGAGATAACAGTGCGGGACCTGTACGGCCCCTGGTTCCCAACGTGCTGCGTGAAGTGCGCCGAGAGGGGGCAGGGTTTACCCTGGAAAACCAAGTATGCCATAGCCTCTGTCGTGGTGGCGCTGAACGTGCTGCTTGTGGCGGTACTGTTCCGTTATGTGGGGCACGGGGACACTCAGGTGGTCATGTCTCCTGGTGAGTAGGACCTAATTTTATAGAAACAACTCTGTTCTCTGCTATACATTTTTCGTTATTCGTGAATTATTATGGTATTGACTTTAGACTTTATATGCTCACATTCTACACATGTGTGTATCGAGTTTACTACTCTGCAAAAAAAGCAAAAATTAGACTTCGGCTTATTTTTGGCGTAAAAATTTCACTACAGAAAGACAGTCCGATAAAAACGCCTAAATATGGCTAAAACACGTCAAAAAAAGCCGAAACTCTAGATCTGCTAGCTTGGAAAGTAGGGGTTTACTCCTATGCAAGGAGGTTTAAAATCAAGATTTTAAGAGGTTTTAAACCTCTTTACTCTATGGAAAAATTTGTATTTTTGAAAAAAAAACTAACGGCTAGTTTTGCCTTACGTGGCAGGTGACATACTCTTAATGACCGACAATGTTGACACGACGTTCTGCGCCGCCCAGACTTTGACCTCAGCTGGGGGGAACACTTTCCAGGCCTCCGTGTTTCCCGACACCCCGCCGCTGAACCCCCACGCCACGGAATTCTCACTCCAGTACACACTAAGTATCCCTCCAAGGGACTACGTGTACTGGTTATACCACCGAGTACCTGGTTCAAGCCAGTCGAAGATCACTTTACACACCTGTCTTACAGCACTGGAAGCAGACCTCTACATTATAGACGATAAAGACGCTTTTGATCACTGGAAGTCAGATGTCGACTGTGATTGGTGCACTGTGGAAGACAGACACTATGATTCTTCTTCCTGTGACCCATCGGATCCTTACAAAACATGGCCGTCCTTGACGAGCAGTCTTTTCTCTGAGGACACATATATCGCGTATTATAACCCTCAACAGATCCATAACGTGACGTTGAGTACTAGACTTGTTATCAAAAAGCAGAATTTCAGCGGTGTGCCAAAAGAAAGCTGTTCAGACAGTACTTGTTCTCTTGAGCTATCCTACAAGAGCAAGGAGGTCGTTCTAGTTGAGATCCCGTTTCAAGGGACTTACAATAACGTCGTATCCGAAACCATCACCTCTAGATGCGTTCCTCGCATAAGTGCCCACATTGTGTACTTTCTGTGTCTTCCCCTGGGGGTTTGGGTAACGTTCTCCGCCTTTGTACTTTGTCTGATGAAAATTAACGACAATATCATTCGCACCACAGAAAATGCGGATAACGCCAGGGTATTCAGTAGGATGTCTAACGAAGAGGGTTCAGAAAGAATCAGACTAGTCGAGGACAGAGATATGAGTCGTCCCCCTAGAGTTGCTCGCGCGTACGGGCGTCACCGAGGGTCAAATGACCGGTCTCCTTCGAATTCCTCTCCGGTCCCACCCCCTCCCAGCTACCAGGACGTTGTAGGGCAGCCGCTACCAGAAACAGGGAGGGCGGAGAGCACAGGGCCTCCTAGCTACGAGGAGTGTATGACCAAGTAGAAATACATCATACATACATTTGTTTGTTGTCTTAAAGGCATCCAATGCAATTTCATGGCGGTAAAACTGGAGACATTCTGGCTAAGACAATCTCTATGATATTGACACATACTGCCTCAAATATGCACTTTGAATCAGTACAGTAATACTAGTATTTCAGACATTTAAAACTGCAGAAACAAGTCCCAGGATTTTCTGCGTGGTACCTTAAAAATCATCTCTGGATCCTTTCATTACTAGTAACTGTTTTTCGTCACAATTTAATTGGGAATTTTGCCTCTTGTATGTCTGTATACATTGAGATAGTGCTATTTCAACTTAGTATATGTACATAAGTGACTAGAATACTATAGTTAATTTGAAAAATCTGGTATCCAAGCCCTAACAACCACATTGGATGCCCTTAAGCACAGTGCCGGATGCTGTTCTAAGGGACCTATCTACATATGTAGTGACTATGATGATCTTACGCACATAACGTGTAACGTTACATAATGTCATTACATGTGATGCTACTCTCACGTAGACAATTGTGTATATTGACTCTGCAGAATATGTCAATGCAAATCGTTTAGTTACAAAAATCTTGCATGTATAGAAGTTGCATTGTGTAGCGCTAACAATTAAACACAAATGAAACTGTGTTTTTGGTGCATTTTTTTTTATTGCATTTGCATTTGAATAATCATTTGAATTGACAAAGACAGGACCATCATTGCATCTTATACAGAGCCTCAGATGTTATCATTACAGAATTAACAACTTTATTAACATATTGATATTTGATAAGGTATAATGTCCGTGTGTTTTTTTCCTCCGATCCTCCCAGTTTTAAACCAGGTTTGGCGGAAGTCAGAAACATAATTGCGATCACAGTTATATACCAACATATATTTGACGATTCAGCTATAGCATGGACACTTTTTTATGTTCAGAAAAGTTGAGCACATCTCTGAGTTTTTATCAAAAATGTCCGTGGTGATGCCGGGTTCTGTCTCTTGAACAGCTACTTCGACTTCTTCTTCTTAACTAGTTTCCCGAACAAGCCCTTAACTTTGCTGCCCAAAGTATCCAACACGCCCTCCTCTGGCATGTTCTTGAAGATACCTTCTGCATCCATCTGGTGGTATTGTTGTACTTCCTTCACAGCGGGACGCTCCATGACCTATATGAAATTAAATGAAATACCTTTATTGTACATTCATGCCACGACGGACTAGGTACAGGTCAAGATATAACAGACACATAACAAACGTATATAGAAAATTGGAGACAAAAGATGCACTACTTGACTTAGACATACATACATAAGGAACATACAAGGATACTATACTAGGCTAATACAAAGTGTTCTAGTCACTGAGCTAATATAGAGTGGTCAACTTCTTCTCGCTTTTTTGTACAGTGGAAAATGTGGGAGCAGATCATGTTTGTGATACAGGGTTTGTCTAGACGCATCATCATTATCAAAACTCCAAGGACATACAAATAATACAGATAACATAGATGTATAGTAAATCGTAACTGTGTCGAAAGAAAGAGTTCCTGTCAATAGAAGGCGTCTGATCTTAGTAAGCGAATGATGATTGACTTATGGGAGGAAAATTATCGCTTTAAGAAGAGTAACAAATCCTCCTCCGCCTAGTGATAAATTGTATGTGCATGTGCATGTGCACAGTGTGAATGTGACACATCCTACTATCCTACTCACCCTAGTGTAGTACTCCTGCAACATCGGGTACTTTTTGGTCAGGTCCAGTTGATTCGTCACAAGGTAAATCAGCACTGGGATGAACAGACAATCCGCCGCGGTGAACTCTGGCCCCGCGATGTAGGAACCTTTACCATACTGTAAAATAAGGTTCAAGACTATGTTAGAAGTGAGATCTATAAGTTCATGATTATAAAGTGCCTTCCCAAGGGCACAAGATCGGTGGCATATCAGGACAGGAACCCGGGACCTCTTGGTTCCAAGTCGAGCACTCTGCCGCTACGCCACAAGACCCACATAGATCTATAACGTTTAACAAAATAATATTCTTCTATCATGAAAGTTCATCTGTGTTGGTAGTTACATGTTTAAAGTTAAAACTTTTGGTCCAACACAAAAATTCTCTCACCTAGAGCTTTCGACCAGTCACTGTGGTCTTCCTCAGTAGACTGACCCAGTGGCCCATCACCCTTCATTCAACCGCGACGGGGGCCGACATCGTCTACCAGATACCTTTGACCCAGTGTTGACGTCACACTTCAAAGAAGCCACGTGACAAGCTTCACTGGGTCAGTCTAATGAGGAAGGCCAGAGTGACTGGTCGAAAGCTCTAATTGAGAGAATTTTTTTTGTGTTGGACCAAAAGTTTTAACTTTAAACAAATAATATTCTTGTTGCTTCTTACCTCTTTCAAATACCCCTCCCAGATTTCGATCTCCTTCACCAGGTCCATCTTGTCATATTTTTCCTCCTGTTCGTCAAATTCATCCGGGTCCTCAATCGCTTCCTGGGGAACAAATAGAAGACTTCGGCTTAGCTGGATAGGTCAACACTGGGGAGTGTAATGATACAATGCGTATAAGCAGATCAGGGAACAACCAAGGCAAAATTATGAAGAGCAAAGATATTGTATAGAGCTATATGATGTCCGCGGTAGGGCTTAGTCTGTTTCCTTGTACGACTACAAGTCTATGCGATATACACTGGGATTGAAATAATATAAGCAGACCAGCGAACAAGCAAATGCAAAATTATACAGATCTATATGATGTCCTTGGTAGGGCTTAGTCTGCTTCCTTGTACGACTACAGGTCTACGTGCTAGTGTAAGACAATTCCAGAAGTCTCTTTATCCTTTAATGTTTATTCAAATTTTCTATCTTTACACACATGTGAGTGGATTGTACTGTATGGACTGGGACTGTTTCGTAGTTTACAGGCACCATTACAGACATGTTATGACTTCACAAAGCCGTACAAAGAGACACGAACTTTCTTTCTTTCCTAGAGCGATTAAGTTGTATAAGTATAAGAACTGAACTCTGTTCATCACGAGTGTTTTGTATTTTAACTGGTTTTTGATTATGCTGCTTTTAATTGTTGTCTTCATGTTGAGAGCTTTTACTGTAATTGTCAACGAATTTCATGTCACATTTTCTGTGAATCTGTGTACATGCCAGTTGATTTAAATAAAATTGAACTTGAACTTGAATAGTTACCAGTTCATCTTCATTAGCTTCCTCGTCCATGTCCCACTGTTCGTCAATACTGGTGTCTCCAATTCCGAGCTTCTGTGCCTGGAGCATGCGCTGTATGACGTGGGCTCGCCCGACGGCGCCTTCGGGGATCAGTCGGTTTTTGTCGGAAATTTTCTGTAGGAAATACATCACATTTACTTATGGGGATGTATTTATGTCTACCGAAGGAAAACATTGTTTTTGCTCTGTTTCCTCTTCTTCGTCTTCTTCTCCTCCTCCAAACCAATAAGGTCAATGACCTGAACCAGACGTCTGTCACCATGGTAACTAGTGTTGGGTTACATCATGTTGCAATGTTATAGCAGGACTACTGTCGCCATATATATGAATGTGTTTGAGTAAGAATTAACAGAGCAGGCCATATGCGAAGGTAAACATTATGCATTTGCTTTGCAAGTGTTACCTTTCTATTTGTATAAAATTGCTGAGCTAGTCACGAGCATTTTATGCAAGGTAGGGTTAATTTTCTTAAGCTTAATCGAACGGATGAAACTACATGTATAGCATACAAAATGGGAAAGAAATGTTTACTGCCATTGCAATTTTCTGACTATTTGTATTCTCTAATAAAAAAGTGAATCATTTGCGTCACCGGAGATTGCGAAAAACTTATCGCAACAACCTACATTTCATTTTTCAGAAACACACGCAGTAGTAAGCTATATATTCAGCATATAAGTCGTTACCCTGGAAATAAATGCAAAAAATATCTATTTTTCTTATCCACAATTTGACTACAGTTTGACTACAGGTGTATACTCACCTCCAAGTAGAGACACGCCGGTACGACCTCGTCGAACAGCACATTCTCACCGTGCAGCAGCAGCGGAGGCTACGGGGAATGGAGAAGAATTTTCGGTTAACAGGGCGGGCCGGTACGGTGTTTGGAGTACCGTGTATTGCAACGTCACCGGTATCTACCAGACTAGAATGAATTGCTGGAAAATACTGGGAAACTGGGCAAAAGCTTCATAGCCCGAAAATTGTACTGCTCTGGGCAATCTTCTCGTCAGTCTATTTGGCAAACTTCTAGGATTTTTTCACCAAGTTGGAAACATTTTAATGGCCTGATACAGGCTAGAACGTTAAACAAATGAATCAGACTGAGAGACAAGCATACCAATCGAACATTAGACATCTGATTTTACTCAATATGTATCGATACTAACCTCATCTCTGTCTCCGACTTCTTCAAGCATCGCCGCGTCTTTCTCTTTGTCCGTGTCCACCTCTGTTTTGGTGTAGCTGATCCCCTTTTCCTCCAGGGCTAGCATCATGGACATACAGGGCGTACTGCCCGACTCATAGTACAGAGCGAACTCTTCCGAAGACGACATAGCGAGCGAACTGTAGCAGCTGTGGACAGTGGCGGGGGAATACTGAATAGTGAGTGTGTGAAGCGACTGTAATCATTCAATATATATGGATTACTTTGGTCAGACAATATAGTCACGTGAGTACAGACGTCAAAATAGACTGGAAGAACAAGTCTTGACATGTCACAGACTACTTCTTAGATGTTGTCTGTAAAACTCTATTGAGGTGTTTTGCTTGTGCATGCATATGGTAAATAAAATTGTCACTGCTTTATGTTGTCTCGGGAGAACCAAGAACAAAGCTGTCCAGTAGATGTTGTCTGAAAAATTCAGTTGATGGTTTTCAGTTGATAAAGACATCACCGGGCAAGTAAAATTGTCTTTGGTTTATGCAAGGTGGTTATATACCACTTGAATCCCTTTGGTTTATGTCATGTCATGTTCGGAAAATCATATATACATCTCAATTATATGGCAAGTAAATTTTCATTGGCTTATGTCGTCTTGGGAAAATTTTGAGGTATAGATTTGTCCATATCACCGACTAGATGTTTTCTGTAAAATTGAATGGACGATTTTGAATAGACACTGCAAGTTGTCTTTGCTGTTGGTTTGTCTCATATTGAAAAATTATGTATACATGTAGATCTCCAAGACTAAAGCAGTCTATTTCGTCTAAATGTTGTCTAAAATTCAATTGATGATTTTAAATCTGGCTAGACATGGCAAGTAAAATTGTGTCGTCCTGGCTAAATTATGTATAGATTTCCAAAAACAAAAGGGTCCAATATATCGCCAAGAAGTTGTGTGGCAAGTAAGTTTGTCACAGGTTTGTGTTGTCTTCTGAATTCGAAATAACGTATCGGTTTCCAAGTCTATTCCATCTGTATGTTGTCTGTAAAATTCATTGGCGGATTTGGATAGACTTTGCAGGTCAGTTCAGCAGTGGTTTGTGTTGTCTTAGGAAAATCAGGTATGGGTTACCAGGAACAAAACAGTCTATTTCGCCTAGATGTTGTCTGTAAAATTCAATTCATGATTTTAAATTTGAATAGACAAGACAAGTAAAATTGTGTTGTCTGTCTTGGCCAAATTATGTATAGATTTTCAGTGTCTAATATATCGTCACAGTTTGTCACAGGTTTGTATGTGTTGTTTCGGAAATTACTAATAGGTTTCCAACCAAGTCTATTCCATCTGCTTGTTGTCTGTAAAATTCATTGGTGGTTTTGAATAGACATTGCATGTCTTGGGAACATCAGGTATGGGTTTCCAGAAACTAATAAGTCAATTTCATGTAGATGTTGTCTGTAAATGATTTGGAACGAGCATGGGAAGTACGTTTGTCACTAGTTTGTGTAGGTTTAGGTGTCCAAGACAAAAATTGTCCATTGCGTCAATTTTCGGAGACTACACACACACTTAGAAACACATGCTGCGAAATACACGCACACACACACACACACACGCACACAGTCATGCATTCATACACCTCCTCATAATACTACTAGTCATAATGAATGCAGCTGACCAAGTCTTGTTGAGTGATAAAAACTTTATTAAGTTCAACACCCAAACAGTTGTTCTAGTCTCCATTATTATATTACGGCATATTATTGCCACTACTGTCAATATTACAAGACAGCAAACATAAAATGACAATAGTATACGATACACTCACATACAAAAGAGTATGCTTGAACTTTTTAAACTAATACTGTGTTTCACACATGACGTACAACTCAAATGATTGCTAATGTCGGAAAACTGTCCAATGTTTGGAACTTCTATTGCCATTGCTTCGTTATCCGACAATTAAGACCATATGCGAAGGTAAACATTATGCATTTGCTTTGCAAATGTTACCTTTCTAGTTGTATGAAACATTGCAGAGCTAGTCACGAGCATTTTTTCCAGAATGCAAGGGAGGGTTCATTTTCTTTTTTCTGAAGCTTAATATATAAACATAAAATGACAATGGTATACGATACATATTCATACACAAGAGTATGATTGAAGTGTTCTACTACTTAAACTAATACTGTGTTTCACACATGACGTACAACTCAAATGACTGCTAATGTCTAAAACTGTCCAATGTTTGAAACCTCTATTATCATTGATTCGTTGTCCCTACAATTAATACACAACGCGGAGAATTCTATTTATTCCCCTTCTTTTCCTTCCCCCTCTTCGTCCTCCAAGTGCTCGTCCAGATATTGGAACGGCTTTCCCGGTGCCGGTGTGTTCCAATCCTCCGGCCACGCAGTTTGGATAGTCGGACGTTCTCGGAGCTGTGGACAATGAAATGAAGAAAATAAGTACAAAAAGCACCTGGGCATCAAATCTTGAAAGTATAGTTTAAAAAAACAGTTTGAAACCACTGAAATTCTCAGAACCACTTCTGTTAGCAATGATCCCATTCCCCGCAAAATACTAGTATTCAACAAGATATAAAATATACATTGTACAAGCCTAAATGTGTTGATCTTGCTTCAAGTTAACTTTAAACATACCATACAGAAATGCTCACGTTTCCTGAACAAACTGTGTGTCATATCTGTCATTTTTTTTCTATAATGTGCTAACGTAAACAATAGCCTGGGTTGTAGCATTGAAATAACACTCCTGGTTAATCATTGGTTTACAGCAACTGCAATGTTCTAGCTACAAGTAGAAGTCCTGATGGTGGAAAGAATAGTTCCAATAGAATATGAAGGAAACGGAGCAAAATAAGAGTAAGGAAACCAGCTTACCGCCTCGTAGTATTTGTGCAGTTCTGGATACGTTGCCTCGGGCTTGAACCCCATCCACATGACGAAGGACAGCACAGGGAAGAAAGCAACGTCTGCCATGGTGAACTCCGTCCCAGCGATGTACGGGCCGCCTTCCTGTTAACGTTGGAAACGTTTGTAAGACTAGAAGCTTACGTTTGCAAAGCGAATGCATAATGTTTACCTTCGCAAAAGGTCTGCCCTGTTAATTCTTACTCAAACACATTCATATATATGGTGACAGGAGTCTAAATCCTCCCTGCAATAAGATTGCAACACGATGTAACCCAACACTAGTTACCATGGTGAGAGACGTCTGGTTCAAGTCATTGACCTTATTTGTTTGGAGAAGAAGAGGAAACAGAGCAAAAACAATATATTTTCCTTCGGTAAACATAAAAAGAGTCATCTGATGTACTCATTCGCTGAGATATCAGTTTTACAAGACACAAAAACTTTGGCTATAAACACCTTTATCTCATACTGGTACTCTTAGTTATACTTGCACGTCACACTTCGGAATATCCATAAGTTAGCAGCAAAGGTATTCTATATATTGATTGTAATGAATGACATCCTTAGCAAAGTTTCTTTGCTATGGTGAAGCTAGGGATAATAGTTGTCTGACCTTCCCCATTGAGAAACCATAGATGGTGGCAATGTGACTGAAATATTAGTGGCCACAAGTAATCTGTTTAGAGAAAGAACTCACCTCTTTCAGATATTCCTCCCAAACCATGAGTTCTTCCGCCAGATCCTCCATGGCGTCTTCCTCATCTGCCTCCTCGTACGCCGCCTCAAGTTCCTCCTGATAAACAACAAAAATGATGAGTGCTCACATACTAAAAACTAGAAAGGTAACATTTGCAAAGCAAATGCATAATGTTTACCTTCGCATATGGTCTGCTCTGTTAATTCTTACTCAAACACATTCATATATATATGGTCAGGCAGGAGTTTAAATCCCTCCTGCTATGAAATTGCAACATGATGTAACCCAACACTAGTTACTATGGTGACAGACGTCTGTTTCAGATCATTGACCTTATTTGTTTGGAGAAGAGGAAATAGATGAAAAAAAAACATGTTTTCCTTCGGTAAACGCAGTTAAAATGTGATCCAGCCGTCGCTGGCAATGAAGGAAACGTGTCAGCAACCTTAGTTATAAAATGCCATGATATCATTAAGTTTCCATAACAGTTAGCCCTAACAAGGACGTTTCTAATGAAGTTTATACATATAACTTCCATGCTAATTGGTTAACAGAGTAAAGAGACTCTTGATCTTTTTACACAACGAAGTCTTTTATTCAGCTGACGTTTCGGTGACCGTCTGTCACCTTCCTCAGGGCAATTCTGACTGGTTCACATTGCTCTGCAGCACAGGTGCCGCTGCTATATATGCATTCCCAGACATACAATATTTACATATCTACACAAATGCTACAATGCGTTCCCAAACGTACAGGAACAGTTAGTGTAAAGAAGCATAGCGTACATCGTTTTCGAATTCCTCTTCGTTGAATTCTTCGTCCTCTTCCTCCTCATATTCCTCCCAGTCCTCCCAGTAGCTGCAGATGGTGGTGTCGTCCAGTCCCACGTGCTCGGCGCTGAACATGCGCTGCAGGACCAGGGCCTCCTTCGTCAGGTCATCGTCGGGAATGAGTTTCGTCCCTCCGAACGTTTCCTGGGACAACACGGCATAGCAGGTAAATTCAACGTACGTGTAACAGTGTGTGTGTGTGTGGGGGGGTGTTATAGGCGCTACCAACTGACCCGGCCGATGGGTCTAGATGGATAGAACAAGCTAAGAGTGTAGTTTTGTGACACATCAGCGATCATACGCTTACGACAACAAGGTATTTCTATGTACTATCCAAGCAGAGGTTGATGGGGGTAGCTCGTTACCTTTTTATATATGCCCCGTTTTTTGTCGCTACCCTCACCATGTAAAAAAAGGTAATGATCAACCTCTGCTTGGAGAGTATTACTATGGACAACAGCATTTTCTAGCCAATGCAATGATTACATATGTATAAATATTGTCGTCATCTACGAAATCTGCCGATTTCTATGTACATATTAGTATAGTAGAACCCGGATACAAATGTGAACAAATGAGGAAGAATAATCTCTGAAAAAATCTCCATGGAAAACATGAATGCAATTCATGGAAGTGTACGAAAGCTAATTAAGCAGGAAATATTACTCGACCAACGATTTCGAGCGACAACTGTGTAACAGTAATGACATGGTCTGGTGAAAGTTCTAACTAGTTAAGAGAAAACTGTGCTGTACTCACCTCTAAGTATATCAAGGCAGCCAGGTACTCAGTTAACACCACTTCGCCGTGTTGCAGGATTGGGACCTGGAAAACAAGGGAAAACACTTAATTGCAATGACAGGATGCAATCGCTGGGTGACGTTTCGTGCTCATTGTAACATTTGCATTTCCCCAATGTTTTACCGTCGATGGAAGTTTTAAGCGATGTTGACGACTGGCCTACATCTAGGCATAATCAAATAGAGATAAATACTACAGCACCTCCCCTTGATATATCTGGGCCAATTTCGTGCATTGCGGGCAAATTTGTACATTACATGTTGACACTGTAAGCTACTATTGATTAGAATGATAGTAAAAATAATCTAATTTTTCAGATAAATTTATGAAGACAATCTTTATTTTTGCATGTTCATGCCCATGGGGCTAAATGCATACATCAGAATGTGATGTTACATGTACATCATACTGAGTAACATGATACATAGGATACAAGGATAACAGAATAACGTAAACGTCTACTACTAGAGAATAAACTAATCTAGGCCTTGAGGATTTCTTCTCTCTTTTTAAAGCAATTTACAATGCGCATATTTACCTCCTGTCTGGGGTCGAGTTTCTTGACTTCGTCGCTGGGGTTGTCCTCGTCCATTTCGGCTTTAGCGGTGTACTGGATCCCCTTCTCCTCCAGAAGGATCATCAGTGACAGGGCGGCCACGGTGCCGGGCGCGTAGTACAGGGTAACTTCGGCGGTGTCCGACATGGTGTCTATGCGCTGTTGTCAGTCTGACCACCGTGTGCCTTGTCAAGAGAATAAGACTGAGGAGTAGTCTGTGAGAGGTTGTTGGTGACTTTTTATATGTCGAGTCTATGTGAAATCACGTGATGGCACAGACAACTGAGAAAGTGGAACGACCGGTTCTAGTAAAGTGTTACAGTTTTTACCGCATTTGTCTGATTTCCGGGTGCTTGTAATTTAGATTTAAAATTGAATACAACTTTCATCTGTACCTGTATCTGTGTCAGTATAGCCGGTATAACCGCCCTTCGGCGTAACACACCAGCTTCGCAGGCACGCGGCGCGACGGCAGCTAGCTACTAGTATATCACCCCGAACGACTTGTTACACTCAATCTTTGCACATTTAATTGCAGGAGTTGTTTAAAGCTTTCTATAGTGATGGTGCCACAACTGTGCTTGGTGGCAACGAGTTCCAGTCTACGATAGTTCTTAGGAAATACGAGTTTTTGAACACCTCAATTCTTGGTTGATAACTCTGATATTTGAAGGCATGATCATGAAGGCTTCATTTTGTTGTATAGAAATGTGAATTATATACAAATGAGAGAGATCTCCTCTATGCATGTACTTGTATACAAGACAAGTTCCATACCTTGAGACATTTATATAGAACAGAAAATTATCAAAATTACACTATCATTGATGTCGGTAGTAAGTACAGGGTCTGTAGTGTACAATGGGGAAAAATGAAGCACCCGCAGGCTATTAGAAAAAGAGATAATTCTAAGACAACTTATGATTAGACAAGAGTTGTCTTCTCAATGAACTCGTTCATACATCGCCAATTAATGAATTAGTTTCTCAACACACAGATCCCACCGACATGCAAACACATGTGGAACCTTACAGAGACAAAACTAAACTCACTGAGTTTCGCTCTTCTTTATTTAACACAAACTTCGATTCTGTACATCGTATAAACAACAAGTTCGCTAGGTGGCGCTTTCATAGCTGCCCACACTTTTTAACACGTCCGCCAATGTCCTTATAAAAGTATACTTTTGGCTATAACAAGCCACCATCGGTCAAGAATCGACGTAAAGGCAAGTCGGAATACAACCCCTCAAACGTTGGACAAGCAGTTTGGGACGTTTTAGTTGCTTCTATTCGAGATTTTTGTTATTCCCAAACCAACGCCAACGCCAACAACCAACTTACTGAAACCGATCGCATAAGAACATCACACCCAGAAGCAGGGCTAATTCTACTGGGCGACTTCAATAGACTGGATATTAAAGACATTTGTAGTGGGAACGGACTGACTCAAGTCGTCGACAAACCCACCAGAGGACAGGCGATCCTAGACTTGATCATGACAAACCTCCAGTCTTACTACGGCGAACCAGAAATCACCGGTCCTCTTGGACTCAGTGACCACAACACGGTCCTGTGGAGGCCTAAGCTGCGTGAAACACACAATGTGACTAAAACTAAAACTGTGCGACCCATGCGGGACTCGGACATCCGTTCCTTTGGTCAGTGGCTGTGCTCTTATGAGTGGCAGGAACTGTACGAGGAACCCTCATGCGAGCGCAAAACAACCATCTTCTACGATACCATGGGAAAAGCCATCGAACAACACTTCCCCACTAGACAGATCAAAATGCACTGTAGAGACAAACCGTGGATCAATCCGGAAGTGAAATCACTAATCCTACAAAGACAAAAAGCCTTCTCTGATGGAAAAACGCTACTATGGAAACACCTGCGGAACAAGATAAATCGTGAGGTGAAGAAAGCCAGGAAATCCTACTACAGTGACCGGATTGAAAACCAGAGAAAAGAAAATCCAGCCAGCTGGTACCGAGAAATCAAAGGACTGCTCAACATGCAACACAAGGAACTCTCGATTACCATCCCGGGTAATGAGTCAGCTGATAGTCTTTTCATCGCGAACTTTATAAACAAACAGTTTGCAACAGTCGCTCAAGGACGCCCCGAGTTAGATTGTACTCAACTCCCGGCTTACCTGCCCTGTAAGGACCCGCCGCCGACAATCTTCCCATGGGATGTTTACAACATCATGCGAAAAATGAAAGTGGGGAAAGCCCCTGGACCAGATCATCTGAGCACGCGAGTACTGCGGGAATTTGCATATGAACTGTCCCAACCAATCTCAGACATTCTAAACACATCATTGAGGGAAGGGTACGTGCCACAGGACTGGAAGGACGCAATAGTAGTGCCCTTACCAAAATGTAGACCACCTTCTGTTGATAAGCTGCGCCCAGTTTCCCTCACATCACAGTTAGCGAAGGTGGCGGAATCCTTTATTTCCAAGTGGTTGATGCAGGACATCAGATCGTCACTTGACCCACAGCAATATGGGGGTCTCAAGGGCCGCTCCACTACCCACTACCTCGTGAGTCTGATGGACCACCTGTGCAGAGAATCTGAAAAGCCTGGAAACATCACAACCTTGATCATGACAGATTTTTCTAAGGCTTTCGACCGCATTGACCATACTGTAGCCATAAGCAAGTTGATCAAACTTGGTGCAAGACCTAGCATCATCCCCTGGATCAGTGACTTTGTGTCAAATCGGCGCCAACGCGTTCGTTACGGCGGACAACTGTCAGAGTGGGAGATACTTACCTGTTCTGTACCTCAGGGCACACTTCTCGGACCAATACTATTTTTAGCTGTCTTTGATGACGCTGTCAGAGATGCTGCTCCCAGTATACATGAATGGAAATACGTAGACGACTTAACAATGACAGAATCAAGGCATCGCCTTGAACGTTCCATCATGCAAGAAGAGCTAGATAAGTTCGGTCAGTGGTCCAAGGACAATTACATGCTTCTGAATGGAGACAAGTGTAAGATTATGACTATTTGCTTTTTGAGGATTCCCCCTGCACCGCCGTCACTCAACATTTACGGTTCAGAACTTGAAAGTGTGGCAGTTGCATGTCTCCTGGGAGTCTGGCTCCAGGCTAACCTGAAGTGGGAAACAAACGTAACCAAGATGCTCAACAAAGCAAACGGCCGGCTGTTTCTATTAAGGAGACTGAAACACTTCAACCTCCCTGTGAATGACTTACTGCAGGTCTACAAGTCATACGTGAGACCTGTAGTAGAGTACTGTGCCCCGGTATGGCACCCAGGACTCACTAGTTCCCAGTCAGCTCGCTTGGAGAGGATACAGAAGAGGGCACTGCGCACCATCCTGAGGGGTCAGTACGTGGACTACAACTCAGCCTTGCACACTACAGGCCTACAGTCACTCAGCAGCCGACGCACGGACTTATGCCGGAAATTTGCTTCTAAGATCAACCCTGACCTCCTCCCACCGAGAGGAAGCGAGGAGCATGGCAGGAACACTCGAAATGCTAACAAACTGAGAACTGTGAAGTGTAGGACAAATAGATACCAAAACTCTACCATACCATACCTAACCCGACTGTTAAACGAATGAATAGCAATATTGTTTTCAACACAACCCTTCAGAGAACTTGAAGAAGGAAAAATTGTGACTTATGTGATGAAAGAGTTAGGCCCGCATGTATGTCGTACTGTTCGCGAAAAATATCTATGTGTATTATATATCTATTATTTTAATCATCTTTTAATCATCTGTAACGGAGACATGAATGTTTAAGCCATGACAGAACTGATTTTAAATAGGTAAATTTAATTATCGTTTTTATATTACAACTGAATGACACTTTTAAAGTACTTGTAATGGAATCTGCAATTCAGCCAGAAGGCTGCGAGAGTTTCTTTTCTAATAAACCATTCATTCATTCATTCAACAAGTGCAGGATGAGCAGCATTTTCTGTACGAAAATGGCAAAAGAGGCGGCAAATCTAGATACTGATTTCTCATCAGCTGTAATTTTACTAGTAATCACAATGATGAAATTTAGCTGTACAACTCTTTGTACAGGATTCTTGCATATTTTCGACGTCAGACCAAGTATAATATAATACAGCTTGAAAAGAAATTCTGCAAAATGGCCACATCTGTGGCAAGTTAAAAACGAAATGTGGCGCTCATAATGTTGACTTCGTTTGTGCATACTTATGCGGATATTACATCATTGCCTAACCTTTAATACTGTCAGAACATCAGTATACTACAAGGCCTTCTCAGCCTTAGGGGCCAAAGTATTGTAAGTGACAGCGTAAGAGCAAGTTTGCAGAGGAGAATTTACGGATGCCATTATTACAACTAGTATATTAACTTTCAAAGCCTGACAGTACTAGTATATGCTGTTATCCTATCATTTCATTGTGACCAAAAGTACATCGTTACTTGTCCTTGAGCACACACCTCGAACTGTGTCTGTAAAGGTGCGGTGGATTTTGGGCTATCGGAGAGTATATCAACTTTGGCTTCAACTGTCGTCTTTCGTGACTTCGCCTTCACATAAGTCAGGCCCAGTCATCAGAGATGGATCACGCACAGTTTATTCTGCAAACATAACACAACCTTCCATGTGCCGGTGTTCGGGATATTTGGTAATCTCAAAATCACTAAAGTTACTGCTAACCCAGAGGTGGTCAGACGTCGATCCCATGATGCATTGCGCGAATTTTTGGCGCGAGATCTCCATTCCTCACTGTGACGTACAGACCTCACTCTGCTGCTAACCTGATAACTTTAAGCCAACAGAACATTTTCATTTGCGTATATAGATATCCTGGAACACCGGTAGAGGCTATGACGTCTGAAGTTACACAGTTCTCTCACTGTGCACTGAAGCTCGTGTGTTGCGCCTGGAGCGAGGCGGCTTAGCGGTTACATGCGATGCCAACAAATTTTACGACGGAGAGTGTACTTGACGTCGTTGACGGCGAAGCGAGGCTGATTTTTTTTTTTCGTTTTACAGCCACGGCCGAGTGTAACGGCTGATGTATCCACTTTCCCGCTCCGATAGCTGACACTGTTGACTCCGGCAATTCCAGTAATTGATCTGCCTCACCTCCTTCAGAGAAGCCCCTGTCGGCCCCCGTCAAACCTCCTAAATGTCATCGCTCATCCAGTTGATATCCAGATGTAAAAGTCATGATTAATGATCTTGGCAC